ATACGATTAACATGAAATTTGAGTTATTTTCTGGGTCGAAAACCCCGCTTATAGACACTGATTCTTTCTTTTGCATCCAGGCTTAGGGTAACGTCATGTATTTTCGGCCAGAAAACTGATTTCAAAAAAAAAAAATACGTTCTCGAGTTAATGGCTTCATCAAAATCTAGTCAAAATTTTCAAAAAAAAAACTCAAGTGTTTTGACAGATGGGCTGCAATTCTACGTTCTCGTTTGCCCGCTTCTACTGGCGAGAAAGTACTGTGATCATGAAAAATTTAGAAAATGACATATGTTTTCTGGATGTCACTCAATTCCGTAGGTCCGTCGGTCTGTCGGTCTGTGTGACCCATAATCCTTGGTCTATAACTTGGAAAATTCTGCTCGGATTTTGATGAAATTTTCACACGAGATAACTACTATGCCAATGTTGAAAAAGCTTTGTGATTTTTGACAATCGGAATAGTGACGGCGGCGTGGAGGGCAAAAAAACCGTTCAAACTTCGTTTCTACGTTTCAGAGGCTCCTGATCATTTTTAGAAAAAAATCTGTACGGATTAAGAAACGGGGGTTGGGGGTTATAGGGGTGAGACTTTTTTGGCAACAGTATATACGCTTTTTGCAGCAGGTCCGTCAAGTTGGCGTAAAATGCTTCTTTAACGCATACCAAAACATCATCATATGGAGCATACATTCCAAGTACGAGGTCTTCATGGCTCAGTATCTTCATTTGAACCTGGAGGATTCTAGCACTAAATTGTTCCCAAGACTTAATATAACGTTTATATTTCTTAATAATGAAAAGTGGTACTACATTCTTGGCTCTATTTGCCTTCGGCACTCTCGAATATAAGTGTATATATCCCTGATTAACCTCTGTTCCGGTTCCTTTCGTTTGTTTTTCAGTGAGCATAGCTAGGTTAGGTTAGGTTAAGTTTCTTGTGATTGCATCGATAACGATCTTCCACTGCGACTTTTTTGTCCATTGTGGCTCACACCTATTTATATTTCCCCCAGTAGCACCGACCTCCTGAGGAAGTCGATCAACTTGTTTGGAGAAATATCCTTCAGGTCCTTTGCTTGGAGTACTACGTCTCCAAGTATGTTGTACCTGATTCTGGCAATTGCAGGGCATCTGCTCAATACATGCCTGATCGTTTCACCTCCCTCCAGGCACAGTCTCCACTCAGCGTCTTCCGCCATGCCCAGCCTGCTCATGTGGTGACGCAATTTGCAATGACCAGTGTAAGAAATGAAACTCAGTGTGGTTTCGGTTCTAAACTATAGCAGGAACTTCATTGGATGAAAACAGGATGACAACAACGCTAGTTACAATTCATATTCAGTTTATAAGAAGTAAAATATAGCAAAATGCAAAGTCAGGAATGTTCTCACAAAGATAACACCTAACGCTGTAACTAGAAACCGGATGGACGGCGCTAATCACAAGGGCATCAGGACGGTGTTAGCCGTACCGTTGAAATGGTAATCATCAGGATTCCATAACTTGTACGGTCCTACTAGAGTTTTAAGGCTATTCCTGTTCAGCCGTAGCAAAGAGTCTGTTACCTTCTTTATCAAGATTGGTATAGTTGCCTTAGCATGGGTTAACCCTGCTGATCCCTCCCAGTGTTGATGGATCTTTCTGTCCATCTCTGCAGAGATTATTTGTTTAGCCGTATTGTATGCGATCCCAATCGCTAGCTCAGGCCCTATGAAGGGTGTGCTAGCCCTACTCTTTGCCAGAGTGTCAGCTGCCTCGTTTCCCTCTAGACCTGTGTATCCTGGTATCCATATGAGACGGATTTCATTTCCCTCCCCTATGTCATCGAGAGCTTCTTTGCAATTCCACAATAATTTCGATGTCGAGTAGGTGGAGTCAAGTGCTTTAAGTGCGGCTTGCCTATCTGAAAAAATAATTATAGTTCTGTGTCTCAGTTGTCGTTCTGCAATCATTCTGGCACCCATCCTATAGCATATAGCTCTGCCTGGAAGACCGATGCCCAGGTTCCTAGGCTAACAAATTTTTTAATCTTTAGCTTCGGCACGAATATACCAGCTCCAGCACCTATCTCGGTCTTGGAGCCAACTGTGTATGCACAGATATCTTTCCTTATCAGGTTAACTTGCTGTTCCCACTCATTCCTGTGTGGAATTGTCACTGAGTAGGGTTTAGAATATTTTGTTATCTTTGGCATTATATAAGAAGGCATTCTCAGACTGGGGTAATTCCACCAGCATGCCCGTCTCCTCCATAGTGATATTGTCCATTATACCATTTGCCACATGATGTAGTCTATAAGATCTCCTCCTTGACTCGCCATCTAGGTATATGTGCAAGGGGGTAAATTTAGGACGTCCATAGCTGCAGTTGGTGTTTTACGAAATGCACCAGAGCGTCTCTCTGTATTGCGCTCAGTTTGACTTGGACAGTTCTTTATCCTTGCCCTTGCCCCACCAAGCTACAGGTTCATAGGTTATCATAGGCTTAACGACCATGGTATAAAGCCAAAACATTTGTTTAGGCTCCATTCCTCAGTTCATCCCACAGACCCTTCGGGAGCACAGCTATGTCAATTTTTCGGGCCAGATGCGCCGTACTGAGCCTCTCTTCTTCGCCACCTCTGTCGTTATGGTCTACACCCGTATACTTGGGCACGAGTGCGTTATACCCCGGCAGAACTCGGTCACCGCTAATTGAGTCGGGTCCACACCCGCGAAGGTGGACGCGCTTGCTTAGCATTGCCTGAGTGGATACAGAGAAGTCTCTGCGCTCCGTCAGGCCGGGTTGATCTTCCGTTCAGACCATGAAGAAAGGTTGATTTGATCTATTTAATTTGTTTGTTATACATGTTTGTAGCTAGCTCATTGGGACTAGCTTGAGTCGAAGTAATACTTAACATGATGATGACAATGTTGCGTGCCCAACTCGCATTCTGTTAAAATGGGCTACTACCCAAGAAAAAGTAACCTCTATTCATATTTTAGTAATTATATCCCTGAGTGATGATCTCAAAAGTTGAATTGCCTTGAGAGTTAAATCAGGGTTTCCCAACCTTTTTTTTTGTTGAGGTTCCCTGGACTATAAATTATATTTTCAGGCCCCCCTTTACTTTTTCAATAAATACAAAAAACGCACATTATATAAGTAATGAGTGATTTTTTTGCTAGAATCTTTTTGGCAACACTGTTTTTGACAGATGACGCGTGAATCGTGTCTTGTGTCATTGTCAAACTTGTTCAGTTTGGTCTATAATTTAACCATGAATCGACTTACGAACGAACAACGCTTGCAAATTATTGAATTTTACTATCATAATTCAAGCTCGGTTAAGAGTGCATCGAGCATTGCTTCCAATTTATGGGCAATTTGGTCGGCCTACTGAGGGAGCTATTCGGAAGGTTGTGACTAAATTTCGAACCCAGTTTACATTATTGGACATTAAATCACCAACACGCAGACGTAGAGTGAGGACTGAAGAAAGCAGTAATTGGGCCTCTGTTACTCCACTACGTGGAAAATTTTGCGACAGTATTTGGGTGTAAAACTTTATAAGATACAACTGGTGCACGAATTGAAGCCACACGACCTCCCACAACGTTTCCTATTTGGTGAATGGGCGCTGGCAAAGTTGGAGGAAGATCCACATTTTTATCGAAAAATTGTGTTTAGCGACGAAGCTTATTTCTGGTTGGATGGGTACGTTAACAAGCAAAATTGCCGCATCTGGAGTGAAGACCAGCCAGAAGCATTGCAAGAGCTACCAATGCATCCCGAAAAATCACTGTTTGGTGTGGATTATGGACCGGTGGCATCAGCGATGATAACAAACTTTTTTTTGCCCAAAATCGAAGAGCTGGACTTGGCTGACATGTGGTTTCAACAAGACGGTGCCACATGCCACACCGCACACGAAACAATGACCCTATTGAGAGGCGAGTTCGGTGAACAGTTTATCTCACGTTTGGGGCCCGTCAATTGGCCGCCTAGATCGTGTGATTTAACGCCGTTGGACTATTTCTTGTGGGGCCATGTTGAGGCTAATGTCTACAGGGATAAACCAGCAACTATTGACGCACTGGAAGCCAATATTGAAGCATTTATTCGTGAGATACCTGGAGAGAGTGTGCCAAAATTGGACCTTGCGCATGGGCCATCTAAAGCGCAGCCGCGGCCAACATTTACATGAAATAATCTTTAAACATTAAATTATATCGACCATTCTATCGACTCAAATAAAGATTTAATCGTTTTTTCAAATTTTTTGTGTTTTTTTTTTAAAATCAAGTCCTATACCTCTTAAAAAAATCACCCGTTACAAAGACTTTTATTTTAATTCTAATAAAGGAACTTTAAAAGTTTAAACTAATAAATGTTTTTTATCGAAGAACTTGAATAAAATAAGAGTAGGTACTAATGAGACACTTGAGATTGCGTGTTCTGTACCAGTTGGTTGATCCTAGGATCTGTTTTTGCCAGAGCTATCATCAGGTCGCTTAAACTAGAGCAGAAAAATCTGTCTCACATAAGTTGAAGAAAAAGCAAGAGAGGTAAGTGTCGAATTAACAGGCAATCTTTTGATCAAACATTTCTCCAATGTTGTAAGATGGAAGTCATCTTTCAAGGACGAATCAGCCTTCATTTCTAGAAATTCTTCCTGAACTTTTTCTGGTAATTGTGACACATCAACAACAAATGGATTTCTTGTCATGTGCCATATTGGTGACTCTGAATTGATGTCTCGATAGTATCGTCGAAATTCGTCTTCCACTGCTTGCAAATGAGTTTTTATGTCAGCTTTTAAATTTGCGTCCAGTATGTTATTTTTAATTGCTTCGAACAGCCGAGAAAAATATATAATATTTTCAGAAGACACTTCTTGATTCCAAAGTTGAAGCTTTGATACGAACCCCTGAATATAATCATAATTGCTTATTATAGTGTTGTTTCTGCCCTAAAGTTACAAGTTTAGCTCATTAAAGGGGTCAAATACACCTATGTCAGTTAAATAAGCCAACCTCATCTTTGAACATTGTTAAGAAATCGTGTTTTTCTTTGAACTCAAGAAAAATAATTACCTCTTCTTTCAATTCATAAAGGCGAGCCTTTGGACAGTCAGCGTACTTCTGTGTAGAACAGAAGAACTTTGTGAGCAGAACCGAGATCCTCGCAAAGTAAAGTAAATAACCGACTGTTCAAAGCGCTGCTCTTGATGTAGTTGATAATCCCTACATCCGAGTCCAAAGTGTTGCGTAATTTCGGTGGCAATGTTTTGGAAGCCCAAGCTTACCGATGAATAACACAATGGGTACTAACCTTTGCGGGATTTTTTTCCTTGAGCTTTTTAGCTAAGCCCGAACGTACACCTATCATTGCAGGTGCGCCATCTGTGCAAAGTCCAATAAGTTTCTTCCAATCCAAATAATTTTTTTTCAACAAAATTTGATATTGAATTAAATATATCTTCAGATGTAGCACCTGCTGTCAAAGGTTGGGTGTACAAAATCTCTTCATGAATGATATCTACGCCGATGTAACAAATATAAACTATTAACTGTGCACAATTAATGATGTCGGTGGATTCATCGCAACTAATCGCAAAAATAATTTTACTGTTAATTATTTGTGACTTTATGCCTGCTGCAATGTCATGATTCTACGCTTGACCGTGTTATTCGAAAGAAGGATAGACTACATTTTTTGCTCTGCATCTTCTGCTAAAATTATCTGCGTGGCTTTAAGCACACATGGTTTTATTAATTCTTCACCGATAGTATGAGGTTTCTTTTGCCTTGCTATCATAAAAGCTATTTCAAATGAAGCTTTGAGGTGCTGCGATACACCTGTGTGATAACTTCCCGCCTTTTAAGGCGATTGGGCCTCATGTTATCATCACTTAAAACTTGCATACATATCACACACTGAGGCAATTGTAACTCGTCTTTTTCTATGAAGGTAAATCCAAACTTTCTTTTTTTCGCTGCCATTTTGCACCTATAACAATAAAACAAATAAGTAATAAATAAATAAGCAAAATACTTATATGTAATTACTAATTATATCTCACGTCCATTCCGAAGATGTATTTAACTAAGGTAGTACGCTCATGCGTACTGCGCGCCACACATTTTTAAGATGAATAGTAGCGCGAGCGCGGATATGTTCTTCCCGCTCGCCGCCGTCCGCTGTAACTGCCTCCCCGTTTCATTCGCTTTTATGTGTGCGTCGCGTCCACACGTGTAGTTTCAGTGCCCGGCTCCGCAACAGACGAAAAACCAATAGTACAGGTATGATAGTATTATTTTGCTATTCACGACATTCATAGAATGTTCTGTTACATCAGGATAATACGAAATAATGATATTTTTATTGGCACAGTCCCAGATTTTTCTTTTGCATTTTCTCAATTTCACGAACAAGGCTTCCTAGTTTATTTGCTGTGCATTTAATGTTAATTCGAGAAAGTGAACTATTATATACTAATCACGTTAAAATCGTTCTGGTGAGCAACTATTTCTCCACAGGGCTTGTTTTACAGCATGGGGAAACGCAAGAGAAGCCGATCCAGCGACAAACTATCGCGTAGAGACTTACAAAAAACAATTAATGAGCTTCGCGATAGACTAAACAGGCAGGAGCGAGATCGTAGGTCCCATTCACGTCGGCACAGACGAAGCATTTCTCCGAGGAGGCCCCGCTCTAGTTCGCGCAGTCGATCCTTAGTACAGGACCGTACTTCGATAAAAAGAAGGGGGGTGCCAGATTCGGAGGATCGTAACCACAATTATACGACTCGGAAACGTCGAACTTTGGACAAACCGACTTCCGAATATCAATACTCTAGGAATTCATCGAGAGAACGTCGGGTTTCGCACAGCCCAACTTCCAATCGATACCAAAATCCTAGAAATACATCGAGAGAGCGTCGGGTTTTGAACAGCCCGACTTCTTCACGATTTTCAAAAGAAAAAATAGACCGACGTAGCATGAGCCGAGCCTCGTACGACTCGGCGAGTGTCACCAGTGGTAGAAGCCCGGCATCGAACTGTCCGGCTATAAACCAAGACCATCCGGAACTGGATGACCTAGATACACTCGTACTCCAAGACGACATAAATTTACAAGCTGAAAACACTGAGAATGAGGCGGAGCAACTTCCAGAGTGCATTAAAGAGGTATTAGGCATTGACACTGACACAGAAACAAAACAGTCCTATCATCTCAATGATGCTATGAGACAAGTTTGGTCACAAACAATAGCCCAAGGCTTAGGAAAGGAAAATATGGATCAAATTTTGGATCGCCATAGGCCTCCCAATAATTTTCCTACTCTTGATCCTCCAAAAGTCAACCCGGAAGTTGCTCACATTCTTTCTCAAGCATATGTTAAGAGGGACCAATGCCATGCAAGATATCAGCTATTGGTGGGAAAAAGTACAAGTGCGCTTGGCAAATGCATGAATTATGTCATCAATGAAATCAAGAATAATGTTGATTCTGATCTAAAAATGCACTTGCTACCACATCTAGCAGATGTGGGCACATTCATGACCCAGCTATTCCATGAGATTTCGACGACCCGTAGGGAATATATTTCACAACTTCTCTCCAAATCGGTGAAAGATACCATCAAAGAGACTATTCCGGGGGAATATCTATACGGCACCGATTTGGCAGAAAAGATAAAAATGGCAAAAATTGCAGAAAAAGCTGGGAACGACTTAAGACAAGACGGTTATAGCAACAAGGCAGGGCCATCCGGCATCAGAAGAGGGGGGGGCACACCTCTCAGCGCCAGCATGGTACCTCCAAAACTGCATACAATGCTCGTACTCCATATAAAGCGACTAGCTACCGCCCGTCTTTAAACAGGCAACGCCCGCCTCGCCAGTCAGGGAGAGACTCGGGGCCGAGGAAAGGGCAAACCTCCAAGCAAAGTCGCCCCCCAGGGAGCAGATACCAATAAAGGTAAGTCATTCTAAGCTAGCGGGCAGACTATCCCATTTTGTCGAGTCTTGGAAATGTATAACGAACAATTCCACAGTTCTATCCTGGATTAAGGGATATAAGATCCCTCTCTTAGCAACACCTGTTCAGAAACAGAATCAAACTGCCCACACTCAGTGCGACCCTTTGATTGCCTTGGCAATCAGGGAGCTACTAGATATCGGAGCAGTATCATCATGTACGGAGAGGAAAGACCAGTACGTTTCAACTTACTTCCTAACTGAAAAATCCAACGGAAAGAAACGGTTCATTTTAAATTTGAAAAAATTTAATGAATTCGTGAAATACGAGCATTTCAAAATGGAAGATTTTCGGACAGTACTAAAACTATTGCAAAAGCAATACTGGATGGCAACCATCGATCTAAAAGACGCATACTTCCTAATATCAATAGACAAATCATTTAGGAAGTATTTGAGGTTCAGGTTTAATTCTAATACATTTGAATTCAATTGCTTACCATTTGGTCTCTCGTCAGCACCGTACTGTTTCACAAAAATAATGCGACCCGTCCTGGAAAACCTGCGTACTCAAGGGATTCTGTTGGTCAACTATTTAGACGATTTCCTAGTCATCAGTGACTCGTCTGAAAAATGTAGGGAACACACAAAAATTGTGGTAAACACATTACAGTCCATAGGTTTCATCATAAACTTTGAAAAAAGTTCGTTGACCCCAGAACAGAGAAAAATATTTTTAGGATTTCAATACGACACCAAAAATATGAAAATATCCCTACCGTCGGAAAAGAAAACGTCCATTAAAAACATGTCAACGTCTTTCCAAAAAAGGGATACATGCAGTATAAGAGAACTTGCACAGTTCATAGGCACCTTAACCGCAGCCTGCCCTGCGGTTAAGTACGGCTGGTTGTACACCAAGCGTTTGGAACAACTAAAGTGCTCAGCTCTAGAAGCGAACAACTACAACTATAATTGTATAGTAGTCTTACCACATAACTTTATAGATAATGACCTAATCTGGTGGGAGCGAAACATCTTAAATGCGGAAGCCGATATTAAACAGACAGGCTATAGTATGACAATATTCACAGATGCCTCACTGACTGGGTGGGGTGCATGTAGAGGACACGACAAAACCCATGGGTTTTGGTCCAATCCAGAAAAAGATAATCATATAAATTACTTAGAACTTACAGCTATTCTTTATGGCTTAAAATGTTTCGCCCGGGATGCAAGGAACTGCAGTATTCTGATTAGATCAGATAACACGACGGCAATATCTTGCATCAACCGTTTGGGCAGTATACAATCTACCAAGCTCAACAACAGAACGCGAGACATCTGGGAATGGTGTCAAGCCAGAAATATTTGGGTATTCGCTTCATACGTCAACACAAAGGACAATCTGGACGCAGACAGGGAGTCCAGAGTAGTCTCAACCGAAACAGAGTGGTCTCTGGCAGATTCAGCATTCGATGTTTTAAAACACGAATTCGGATCTCCTGACGTTGACCTTTTTGCCTCAAAAATAAATCACAAATGTCGACGATATGTATCATGGAGGAAAGATCCGGATTCGGTCGCAGTTGATGCATTTACTATTAGCTGACCGATATTTATTTTTATGCATTCCCCCCATTTTGCTTAATATTGAAGGTGTTACAAAAAATTATCCAGGATAAAGCTGAGGGAATTGTAGTAGTACCAGACTGGCGTGCCCAGGCATGGTATCCGCTTGTAGAGAAACTACAAGTTGGAAGATCTGTTACCTTTGGACCTGACGATAATCTTCTGACTTCTCCTTTCAGTTCAACCCACCCTCTGGCCAACAGATTAACATTAGTGGCCGCGAAATTATCCGGCAGGGGTTTCAACTGAGAGGAATATCGGATGAGGCGGTAGAGACCATAATCGACTCAATATCGACAGCTACGATCAGCCAGTATGCGTGTACTTACCGTCTATGGTATAAGTACTGTGAAGAGAAGCAGATACCAGTATTTCAGGCAAACGTCCTGCAGGTAATAGAATTCCTTCAGAACATTATCAATACAACTGAACTAAATTATGGAAGTTTAAACAGCCACAGATCTGCGATCTCCCTTATATCCTCCGATAGCCTAGGTTCACACCCCCTGATAAAACGGTTCATGAAAGGGGTAGCCAGAAGACGACCAATGAACCCCAGGTATAGGTTCACGTGGGATCCTCAACCAGTTCTTACAGCATTAGGAAATCTCCCTAACAACCAACTTAAAAGCCTCACCCACAAACTGGTGACCCTACTTTCACTGGTAACAGGTGGCCGCCTTCAAACGATCTCTTTAATCCGGGTATCAAACATTCACAGAGACGAAACCAGATTACAAATAATGATTACGGACCCAGTAAAGACGTCACTTAGCCTCAATGATCAGCCTTTTCTGAGTCTCCCGTTCTTCACACCAAATCCCAACATATGCCCAGCCTCAACAGTGCTGCAGTACTTAGAGTCAACGAAAGAAATCCGAAATAATGAAGATTTCTTATTTTTAACTTATGTAAAACCCCATAAAAAAGCAACAAAGCAAACCCTTGCCCGTTGGGTAAAACAGACACTTATGTCATCGGGAGTAAATACGACTGTATTTAAACCTCATTCAACTAGGCACGCAGCAACGTCAGCAGTCCGTAGGGCAGGGCTGTCGGTAGACACTATTTGTAAAACTGCAGGCTGGTCTCAGAAGACGGCAACCTTTGCAAGGTTCTACGACCGACCACTACAAGCGGATGATGACTTTGCAAACACGATACTCTCAACGAGTATAAATTAGAATATTTTCACCTTATTTTACTTTTGCTATGATAGCAGTTTTGTTCAACTTATTTCGCATATAAAACATCAATGCATATGTTTGTGGTTTGTATCTTTGAACATCTACCTTAGTTAAATACATCTTCGGAATGGACGTGAGATATAATTTAACGATCAAACGAACTTACCTGAAGTTCGATCGTAATTATATCGATCGTCCATTCCGAAGATGTAGAAACCCCCCCTCCCTGAAATGCAGTGGCCTTTCACCCTGCTCATATGCATTGAAAAACAATCTTTGAAGGAATGAAACGGGGAGGCAGTTACAGCGGACGGCGGCGAGCGGGAAGAACATATCCGCGCTCGCGCTACTATTCATCTTAAAAATGTGTGGCGCGCAGTACGCATGAGCGTACTACCTTAGTTAAATACATCTTCGGAATGGACGATCGATATAATTACGATCGAACTTCAGGTAAGTTCGTTTGATCGTTAAATTATATGCTCATTATTTTATCTAAATAACGTAATGTATTCAACAGTATATTGGCCACCGGGAGATTTATATTTTAGTAGGCAGGTTGACGTTATAATAGTAATTTTAAATACATTCGGAATCAATATTAGGTCCTTAAAGTTCGTCGTTTCAAAATTATTTTGCCACGTTGGTTTGATTGTGATGAAAATACTCAAACTTACCTTTTAACAGTGAGATACAATAATTTGACACACTCAAACAGATTTCTCAACAAAACATGTACATCGAAACGTCAAATTTTTCGCAAGTTTGTGGGAATGGATGTCACAGATGCTCATCCGCGTCTGGTAGGTACACAATTGTTTTCTAAGAGCCGTTTTACATACAAGAGAATTACTCCGAAAATTATGGTCCTAATTATGCCGAAAATTTGCATGGAAAAAATATTGAAGATTTTCTCTACAACCTGTATGACACAAGCAAACAAAATTTCCGAGTAATTCATATGATACGCCTGCGCATTAGAAAAATATTTTCGAATATTTCGAAAGGAAATGACCCTAACGAGTGTGACGTCCAATATAATCGGAAAGACAACATACGTCGTTGATTTAAATTTATTTTTGTAATCGAGATCTTGTTAATATAAAACTTCTCAATGCTTGGGACTATCGCATCAAGCGCCTGACGCCGCAAATTTCTGTTTTTGTAATTGGGTGACTTCACCTTGTACAGGTTTGGCCATTTTTGGTACTCCTCCAACAACAGTGTAACTTCTTCCCGATTCCACGACATTATGAATAAACAATAACAATAAACGCTTCTTCGTACGACTCGAACAGGACCTCACCCATAAATGTTAAGTGAGGTTATGTTGTTGACGTTGACATTTGATATTGACATGCACGCAAATAACCCTCTGCGCCGATTCTCGCGCATATTCTATAGAACGGGTTTTATATTTTTACCATGAAAATTTTCACAAGAATTCTTTTACGTGTAATAGGACAGCAAAAATTTTCGGCATAATTATGACCATAATTTTCGGAGTAATTCTCTTGTGTGTAAAACGGCTCTAAGTGATGAATGTTAAGCGGAGCGCGGCGGGGGTGCGCGCGAATTTCATGTTGTAACTTGTATAAACTGCGATTGACGACGCCGGGTTTTGAATCATATGATGATATTTAATTTCTAATTTTATGCGTGTGAGTTAAACATTACATTGTAATGTTATTTGTTAATGTTATTTTTTTTGTTTTTTCTTTCTAAAATGCAAACGCTTTCCGTCCCCCTTGACATCTCTCTAAGCCTCCCGTAGGCGGGTCTGACTGGCAGGCTCATCCCGCGGCGGTATCATGGAGGAGATCTATGAGGAGGAAAGCCGGTTGACAGAAAAGTAGAAGAGTGCTATATCGCCGACGGCGCGTCGGTGCGAAAGGGTCCCGAGACTGTCCGTTAGAGAAGGGCCATCGATCAGTCGGTCAGCCCTTCTCTGAACTGAATCGAGAATTTATATTGTAGTTCGGACGGCAACACCCCAAACATGTGACTAGTATTCGAGGCTAGGTCTTATTTGGGTCTTGTACAAAGTGAGGAGGTTATGTGGAGAAACGTACAGAGATCTGCTTGTCACTATGAATTCCTGCATGTAGAGTGCTGTCTTCAGCAAAGCTGTGGATCAGATGGATCGTACAGGAAAGGAGGTCGTTGATATGTAAGAGAAACTATGTCTCGATCTTTTATTGATCATAAATATTCGGTTCTGGAAGACACACAGGCCTAAACCTTCTTGATTACGATTCCATCATTTTTTGGCAGCTTTCTGAATGATTACGTAAGTATGCGCTTCATCTGTCCCTTAGTACTGTTAAGCCTGGCGATATTCTAGATCAAATGACATCGTCTAATGGGAAGATCAAGAAAGTAAGATCCGATGACAATTTGCAGGCAATTCCCCACTGGCACTGTTGATCACGATGCAAAACTTTGGGTGAATATGGTTCCAGCAGGATGGAGGAATGTGCCATAAGTTACAGAAACGATGCATACGAGCACTTTGCGAAGAATACCTCGAACTTGTTATGATGATCTCGAAAAAACAAAGGGTTGTGCCAACAAAGCACTATAGAGCCGCTGAAGACCAATGTTCGAGAAGATCTTAAATATATTTTTTCTGAAACCTACAGAAAGTGAAGGAAAACGCAATCAAGAGGACCCAGATCTGTGTGTCTCCCAGCGGCGGCATTCATGTTATATTGTTTTAGATACATAAAGGTTTTTATTTTTAATTGAAATTAAAATAAAATGAGAATCTATCTCATTCCATTTTAAAAATATTATGATATTAATGATAGTCTTTAATCACATAGGAGGGACGGAGCACTCTGTATGTTGGAATCCAAACTTTTCAGGACACATGATCTTTTCTACTTGAACGTGGTTCAGAAATACGCCCTTGTAATGACTGTCCATCATTATGTAGCTGTCTATATATTGGCCACCCTGAACTTTACCGTTTCGCATAATGTCTAGGAAGCTAGCGATGGAATAAAGCAAGCAGTCGTTCAAAAAGATTGCGGAGAAAGCTATTCTGAGTTAAATAACCAAGTAAAAAACGCCAACCGTTTTATCTCAGTCAAAGCTTTCTTGCATTTATCCGGCTTATTAGCGTTTGAATAAATACGGCTGGTAGCTGGAAAGGAAGAATAGGTTTCTGTGTAAGTTCCAGACAGTGTTGTCATTGATAGTAATGGTGAAGAGGCAAACTCTACCTATATTTGGCACTTTTTACTTCCTACGCCACTGGGCGAAAATGAGACATGATGGTTTTTGGATGTTACACGACATGTACATAACGAAAAACCATGTCACTCATTCCCGTCGATCTGTCCGCCTGTCTGCCTGCCTGTTCGCTAATCCTTCATTATTTCGGCCTTAGTGACTCGTTAGTCGGTCTTCAAAGCTCATATCATTCTAATAGGACACAATATGCTTATTATAATGGTTATTCTTCAGCTAATTGTACTGTTCCCTCTGGAGTACCGCAAGGTTCAAACCTAGGCTGATGATCTGAAAATCTACACCAAAATCACAAATTTGGAGAGCTGTATTTCCCTTCAGGACGATCTGCATACCATCACACAGTGGTGCGACAATAATATTCTCTTCTTAAGTATTTCCAAATGCAAAGTATGTTCATATTGTCGTAAAATGAAACCGATTTGTTGGATTACTCCATAAATAAAGCGGTTTTGGAGAAAACAACAGAGACTAAAGATCTTGGTGTAAAATTTTCCTGTAGATTGGACTTTTCTGTCCATGTAGCACGCGTCACTTCCGAAGCGACACGGATTCTAGGTTCCATAATGCGTAACTGCCGATCTTTTTGCTTCTTTGATATGGAACCCTTTCTATGCGTATTATATCAACATCTTAGAAAATATACAAAGAAAATTTCTTAAATACTGTGTTTATAAAATCGATGGCACATATCCAGAAAGGGGGGTCTTTCAATTTGTTCTGCTGCGTCGTTTTGAAGTAGAGTCTCTACAGTTAAGACGTTCTACTGCTGGCCTGTCATTCCTTCATAAGCTTTTGCACGACAGAGTGGATGCGAACTTCTACAGAGGTTAAATTTCTGTATACCACGCTTAAATACGAGAAGAACTTCTTTCTGCTGCAGTACCTCCTGTACCAATGTATTATTTTATTCTCCGCTATATTCTATATGCAACAATTATAATTCCATAGCAGGCAGTTCTGACATTAATTTTGATAGTATCAGTAAGATCTTATCGAATTTCAGATACTACGAGTATTAGAATAGCTAATTCTGTTTTTCAAGTTAGTTTTATGTATATGTTACCGCTAATATCCAAAATCCGCTAATATGCATAAAAACTACACATAATAGGAATTATGCGTAAATACTAAAACCGTCCGTTAGTATGCAAAATAACGGCGCGTATCAGGAATTATTAATAAGTACTAAAATAATCAGTTATGATGCAAATTCACTGTCCAAATTAGAAATTATGCGTATATACTGAAGCTACCAATATCTTATGTTAGTGATTAAGCATAATATCACGTAACGTCATTAACTAAGTAACGTCAAATTTGAAATGCTATGTAGTTAATGATAAAATAGAAATATATTACGAGTAAGTATACTATTACATAACATTTAATATATATGTAATTCTACAAAACTATATGGTATGCATAGATGAAAATCAAACATATTCAGGAATCAGAACGAAAAAAAAACCATAACCGTAACATTTCAAACGACTACATAAAAATTATTTATATTATTATATTTATATTTATTTATTGGAACAAGAAGAGCTTTGATGGCACTTACTATAGCATAATCGATTATTTTTTTACCGCGGTAGGTATTGTTTTGGCAGAATTTTGTGCAATTGCATCGTTGATAACCTTGTGTAATATTCGAATACTGTTTGGACATTTCGGTCTTCATTCGATCTCTTCCTCCGTGACCTATACTTCTGTGACAAACGGTTAAAATATCAAACATTTCTTCAACGGGAACAACATAGCGAACATCTCGTATGTCAATCACTATATTATTAGAATCTTCATTATTTTCCTTTCCCGTTTGCTCTTTATTTCGCGTTACAAGCTTTTCAATATTTCCGACTCAACTATTCCAAATCTTTTAAGTCTACGATACTGTAATGGAGTTTTGGGACCATTATTTGATGAAGCATCCCTAACCTAGAGAAAAACATCAGGAATTAAACGTTAAAATATAGGCACTATATTAGTTTAAAATCATTCTTACCTCGGATAAAAGCACGTCATATTCTTCCTTGAATAAAATGTTCAATCGTGAGTTTGTTCTTCCCTTCAACTTCTTAACTTCATCGACAAATTTAAATTTAATGTTATCAGTAGGTAGTGCAGTCATTGCGATGAGAAACTCCAACAACAAAACAATCAAAACATAACATCAAACTTCAACGCACGCTTCAAGGCACGACCAGTCGTATTTTGTGAAGTTACATGTATAATCACTAATATACGCAGCAGATATTATGCATAATTCCTATTGCTGTGTCAGTTATTATCAATATTTACTAAAAATATGGCGATACTTTGCATAATTACTGACGACTTTAGTAGTTATCGATAATTCCTGATACGCGCCGTTATTTTGCATACTAACCGACAGTTTTAGTATTTACGCATAATTCCTATTATGTCTAATTATTATGCATATTAGCGGATTTTGGATATTAGCGGTAACATATACATTGTATGTATTATAAGTAAAGATACCATTATATTGTCCGCTAATTGGAATAGTTCTGTTGGGCAATTATGTATAAAATAAAATAAAATAAAATCCTTGACCCATCTTTAGCTTAGAAAATACACAAGGTTACAACGACAAGGACAAAAAAGTTCTGTAGTTTTTGAAAATTGGTCCAGTGACGGCGGAGCTATGGACAAAATATGAAAAAAGATAAAAATCGCTCAAACATCGTTTTTCGACGTTTCAAAGGTTCCCAAAAAAACGCTACATGCCACAGATAATCGAAGCATTAGGGTATTCTTTCACTCTAGTGGGGAGCGTATACTATTTATTCAATCTGTGATGTGCGAAGATCAACTAAAAGCTTAAGCGATTTGTCCCTTTATTTAATGCCTACGAATATCTGAAGCGGTTTTTCAGTTTCCTATATACCATGTCCAAGGCAATGCTGACCAGGCTGTAACACAGATATGTCACAATTCATTTACCAAAAATTTATATTTTTGATGTCTCTAGTTGTTAGTTTTTTCTTAATAATGTAAGTTTTTTTATGGGGGGCTATAGGGGGATACATGGGAAAGGGGGAACGCCACACGGACTCTGGCGAGGGAACACGTGTGCATGCAACATGCACACATTCTGGCTCCGCCTACGAGATCCGCCGGGTGGTACTTCCGCGTTCGACAGTCAGAGACCATCTACCACCTACGGACAATCACAACATCCATAGCCAAGAGAAAAATTTCTCCTGGGACGGGACTCGAACCCGCACAGCGCAAGGCGACTGATCAGGAGACCGAAGAGTCTACTACTGCGGCCACCACTGCTGCCTATGTACGCGTAAGAAAATGTATGTGTTCTTTTCGGTTCTTCTCTCTTCTCACGATGCTATTATCAAGTTTTACCGCACTTTGAGGAGCATGCCGCCATCTGACCTGCTGGAAGGTAAGATTAATTTTGGAGTCAAAACGATCAATTCTTCTTGAGCTGGCGTCCATGATTGTTAGTTCTTCAAGTTTCTCCATCACAAGTGGATCGCATTTTTAAAAGCGGTTCGACCTTGACTCTTCTTACACAATTCAATCTTAAAGTCATTCAAAGCTTGCAAAACACAGAACTACTATTTTATATATCACAGATCTACAAGCCAGTGTAAAACATTTCGGGATCAGAGGTCAATGAGGACCTTGAATCTGCGCGTACCCATAAACTGTTACAGCCGTACCTCCATCTTTGAAAGATAAACTAATATCTAGGAACCCTGTTCATCCAAGGAATACTCGTTTCACGAAAACTTTAACAATGCTTCTTCCGTAATTGCTTCTCCACATACAACGCAATCATTCATTATAACAAAATTTCACATGATAAATTTAAAAGACGTGTCAAAAGCATATTCTGGATTCGTAAGTTGCTCAAATTTCATAAAAATGTTTCAATGCAACTCATAATTCATATCTTTGTATACATACTTACTGTCCAGGGTGTTCGAAGAATATCTGGAAATATTTTAGAGGGTGATTTCTTATTACATGGGTTCGGAGATGCAGAGTTTTCAAGATACAGGGTGATAACTTTAATGTTTTTTATTAATATTTATATTATATATACTATATAATATATATATATATATATATATATATATATATATATATATATATTATATATAAATAGTTACTCGATTCTATTGAAATTTGTCAATATTATTTGTAGTATTAAGAGCCTAATCTTGTTATTTTTGTTTTCCAATGTACTTTCCTTAGCAAAAATTAATGAACCAATTTTGTCCAGTGATATGCAATAAAACGGTTTCAATTTTTTTCTCGAAAACGAAGCGAGATACGAAAAAAATACACTTGGCAAAGAAGTTGTATTTTTACTCTGCATTTCCGGGCCCATGTTTGTAGAAACTTGTTTTCATATATCTTAACAAGGAATCACCCCCTAAAATATATCCATCTATTTTTCGAACAACCTGTATTTTCATTGAAGATTCTTTATACCTATTGTCATATACCTGTGTTTTAGCTCATTATTGTAACATTGTACATTTGTTTGGGATTATGTGGCAAAATAGCACTAGCTAATCTTCGCTCCTGATAAAAACGCTTATTATCATATAATAAATGCTCCATGGTATATTCGTATCAGTGAACGTCACAGAGACTTTAGTAAATTGATGGACAGTCACTGAAGACAAATGCAAAAATATTTATAAAAAAATCTAATATATTTTTTTTTTGTTTCAGGTATGTACAAAGCTGGAAAGTGTAAAATCGAGGTAATACTAGGTTCACATTTTTTAATGAAAAACTACGGTACACAAACTGGGATAAACTAGCGTAAAATAAAAATCATTGTTTACTGAACGGTCGCTGTTCCAGATTCAATTGAATACAATTTTAATAAAATGTTGCAGCAGTATGCGGTGGAGTGGAAAGCTTTAGTTTTCCAGCATGAACGCCCAAGTGCAAATATGTTTTTTAAAGTGATAAGGTAATGTAGCATGAAAAATTATTTTTAACTGAAGCCGATTAAAACATTTGGACTACGGGTTCGGATTCACCGCACCAAAAACGTTCGAGTAAGATGATTGACTCATTTTTGTCGGTATGTGCAGTAATGTGTTTGCAATCCCGTGTCCGTTATCCTGTAGATAGTAGGAAGCTGGGAGAGTACAGATACTATTCATCTAAGTTAGAGCATCAATATTTGAATTGAACCAGAGCACCAGAAGCAGGAAATTGACGACACTGTACTTAACAGCTGTAAACAGAACCGTTCGTAAGTCAATTATCATCAGACTGGCTTCCTACAAACGTGACCCGCATCACAGCTCGGCCGATTATATACGGGGTGATTCCTGAGTTCTGGCCAACAAATACTGAAACTCCTATTTACATAGATACTTTTGAAATCATAGGATGTTTTTATGATCTGTCCTGAGAGAGCAAAGTATTTTGGTAATCCTCCACATTTCGGTCCAAACGGTGAGCTTTCTCAAGTACAATTGCCATTTCTGATAATATATTTATATATATATATATATATATATATATATATATATATATATATATATTACATTCCTATACAGTAATCCTACAATAGTTTGAACGGTATTGTGACATCCTAAGATTGCGATAGTACTTTGACATTAAAAGGGAGCCATGTTGTGTGTTGTTTGACATCCTCAACAATGTTATTAAAAAATAGAACACTAGAATACTATTTGCTCATTCAGAAAATACGAGGAAAACATGCTAAAACAAAAATATACCACCAACGCTACCAAGTACCACAGGGATATATCCTCGGGCCCTATTTGTGAAACCTGAACGTTGCTGATTTGCTAGTAGAGAACATTGCAGGACGAACGATTCAGAAAACCAAGTATGTATATTGTTTTTGGACGAGTACGAACGTACCCTAAACAGATCAAGTTTGGCAGAAATGAGGAGCGAACAGTCGAAAGCCCCGTCCTCGATCAAATCCGATACCTTGGACTCAATCTTAATAAAACAGTAAGCACGGACGGCTTCAATAAAAGAAAGAACTCTTAAGGCTAATCGAGCAGCATGGCCTCAGCTCAAACGTTTCTGTAGAAGTGAAATTGAAAATAATTGAAGCAAGCATCTACCCGGTACTAACATACGATATTATAGATGCAAACGTAAAAGAGGCACTCTTAAATTAGAGAGGTGCCTTGAGAAGATATATAAAAGAGATGGGTATTTTCCCTACTACATCTTAGATGACATACTTTGGGAGATGCTACACATTTCTTAGAAATTGTGAGGAAGAGATATCAGTCGAGCCGATTTAGATCAAAGTAGATCAACCAATAAGCCAGCCAAGCCAGCGATGTCAAATCCAGCCTTCAAAATTCAAGCATCCTATCCACTACGTCTCATAATGATAATAATACTTTGTAAAATGGTTTTATCATAAGTCTCTACCCTTGTACATATTTTGAATGTAAACAGAAGGAATATATTTTTGTTTTTTTTATTGTCCTATACAAGCCATCATTATATAACATTATATAAAATTATGGTTTCAAATTGACTCGTAGTTAAAAAACAACACTAAAAGTACGAATTTAATGACGTAACTGTTTTCTATTGTTTGTATACCTGGTGTTTCAAATTTGGCCCTCACCGTTGGGATCTCGGAAACGATAAGAGATACGAAATCGCTTACATTGGGGCAAATCTGCGTATTTAGGTAACTAACAAAATGCCGCTTAGAACGTTTTGGAATTCAGAATACTTCTGGAAACAGATGAAAAAAAAAAACGAAATCTCCCTAAATTAAATTTCACATTTACATTGCTACTTTTTCTCCTCTACAAGGTGGCATAATCAGAATCTCAATATGACGTTTCACCCATTGTCTTCCAGCATCAACTTTATTTTTTCTTATGGATACCATATTGAATTTGTGCAGAGATAAATGGGGTTTTTAATTTTGACAAAAATGTGTAACTTGTCACACATTGGCACTATCAAACCTTAGTTATTACAAAAAACTGAATTTCTTAGGTAGGCATTGAAATAATCAGATAATCATTTGTTTCGTGTAACAGAGTTAGCCCAAAATCATTTATCTTATGTTTTTCTGACTTTATTTGTGTTCAAAATCTTCAATCCTCAAAGACATTTACTAAATAGTAAATTAAAATTACAGCTGTGTGACTCACAAAACATTTCAAGGATATCTCATTGTGACGCTGTATATGGACCCGCTTCATTGCAAAGTGATAAGATTAAGCTGCAACGACTTCAAAATTCTTGTTTCCGTTATTGAACCTAGAAAATCGTAGAATTTAGTCATTCAGTATCTTTAATCTATAAGACATTAATGAATAAAAAACCAGAGTACCTTCTCACAAAGCTACAAAAATTGGAAGACGTATACAACTAAGCAACAAGAAATAGTTAATCTCCAGTTATACTCCACTACTCTACATTATAGTACAAAAAAAGTTTTTCCTTCACTGCGGCCAAACACTACAAGAATTTAACCGAGTTCCGCAATTACCGTCTAATAAATTTCAAGAAAAATTTTAAAGCAATTCTCCTATGTACGTCATTTGCCTGATAATAATGAGATCAATCTACAAAAATTCAGCTAGAATAAGACTGACTGTCTGATTTTTCGAGTTATATCATATGGGCATTATGATTTTATATTAAATGACTTGTATACTTGTAACCTACTACTATAGACTTAAACATTATTAGGCAATTGTCACAAATCACATGTATTTCTCTATTGCTCTACGACTCTATTCTTATTTATGTTTTACTTTTATTTTATGGCTGAGTTGAAAAATATCTCAAGGTAACAGTCCACCATTTCGATTCTTTATTCTGAAATTTTTAGTACCTCACCTTACCCAGAATAAATAAGTATTTGTAAAAAAAAATTATACCGAAGCAGCCGCGCAGCGCAGCAGAAGCCAAAATGCCGGGACATCGCGGCTGCTATGATGATCCCAAAGAAATTGTGTTAATCCGATTTTTGTACTGCCTAAGGTTAGTAGAACTGGGAAAAGCTTTCTCTTCTGCATTGTTCCACAATCTAGACACCCTCTAGACAAAGGAGCGGTCGTGTCGACCAGTTCTGGATGTACGAAGTTCGAAACGGTTAGGATGGGAGGCCAAAGTCAGGCGGGTCTGCCTGGCAGGCACATCGCGCGGCGGCATCATGGAAAAGAGTTCTGAGGAGCAAAGCCTGTTGGTGTATCGGTAGAAGAGAGCTAGATCGACGACGGCCCGCCGGTGCGAAAAGTCTGTTAGAGAAAAGTCATCGAATAAAGGCATGTTATTATTATTATTATTTGAGATGGGATTGCAAAATAAATTACAAATTGTCATTGCCATTTTTTCCTCTACAAGATGGGGTAGTAAAATTTTCAATTCGAGGTTTGATCTTTCATCATTAACTGTGTTTCTTTCATATTGGCGCTGTATTGGACTTTTGTAATAAATACTACTAAGAATTGTGCGAAATTTATCCTGAAATAAATGAATGTATGATATTCATAACTAAACACAGAATCAAAAATTGCGTTTAATTGTGCAAATAATAGTAATATGGAGTCCATAAGAAAAAACAAAGTTAATGATGGAGCACGAAAGCAGACACGTCCAATTTAAAATTTGATCACGCCATCTTCTATTTGAGAAATATTGGAAATGCTAATATATGCAATTTATTTCAAAATCCCATTTTAAATTAAACTTGGAAACAAATAACCATTTTGCGATAAATCCGATATACGAAACAAATGACAGATAATTTCAAGACCTACCTAGGAAATTCTGTTTTTCTCAAATAACTGAACTAGCTGGCAATGCCAATGAATAAAATATACATTTTTTGAATCAGAATTATAAACTCTATTCACCTGTGCAGACATCTAGTAAAAATTAAAGTTGTGGCTGGAGAACAAGAGACAAAAAGTCATATTGAAATTCTGATTGAGCCATCCTGTAGAGGAGGAAAAGTGCCGGTGTTAGTGTGCAATTTATTTTGAAATCCCCCTACTAATTAAATTAGGAATAAATTAAAATGATTTGGGGAAATTCAGTCTTTTCCGTCTCTCTCCAGAAGTACTTTGAATTTCGAACCTTTCTAAGCGGCGTTTTGTTATTTACCTGAATATGCAACTTTGTCTCCATTTAAGCGACTTTCTATCTCCTACCGTTTCCGATATCCCAATGTTGAGGGTTAAATTGGAAACACCGGGAATATTCCAACATAATCTATATAAAATAAAGGTTTCAATTTGATTGAATCTGTTGGTATTTAGTTCGAAAAAGCCAGAGGTTTACTTTCGATAGCCGTCCTCTAACTAGCATTAATCACAGACAGTCGCAGCAGCTGCACGCCAGACATCTGAATAGTATTCAAGCCGGCAGGGTTATTACGTAAAAAACTATAAGATGTCAAAAAACGACAAAATGTCAACTTTCTGACTAGATCGTTGTTAGTGCTAGTGTACAAATAGTTCAATCCGCTATCGCTCACTGTGACCGTCACCCTAGCGTTATCTATGGAGGAAAGACTCAACGACATGATAGCGTGCTTTGTTGGTTTCAGAATGCCTGCTGTCAAGTACGTATCTCTAAGAAGATGTGAAAGAAAGAAAATTATTTGAATAGCAAGATCGCGATCAATGATATTTGCTATCTGAGAAAATTATTACGGAATATGCTACCCGTGAAGTATATTAGCCTTACTAGACAGGTGATTTGCGTTGTCCTTTCTTCTAAAGAAAGGTTATGTTCAAAGTTATAGATTACAATTTTCTCCGTTTGCATTGTGTTTTCAACAATTTTGAGAAGAATTAAATGCCTGCGTTGCGTGTAATCAAGTCAAATCACAGAAAAATAGTAATGACTCATCATACACACAAAACATTTTCGCAGTGCCTCACATCTAGGCGCTGATTTGTATTTTAAGTTATCACAAAATAAATTTCTATAAAATTTTAGATGCCGAAATAATAATTAATGTAACCTTTTCATGTTTCATAAATATTCCTATCGG